AATCCCTGTGACAGTTTGTCAAAAAAAAACTTGTGACAGCCGGCTTTCATCTTCCCTCATTTAGAACCTCGATCTCTGAAGGTTTGGAGGAATGATAGACGGCTTTCGTCCTCTCTTATTTTCGTTTTCATTCTCTTTATAAAAATGTAAACGTTCTCCCATCTTGATGAGATGCGAAAAGCAAGAACCTCCCGTAATAGTAATCCATTCCTCTGGGAGAGATGAGAGCATAGCATGTGCAGGAGATTTGTACCATACGTATGGAAGAGACACTTTGACTACCATTTAACTCAAATCAACACAACTCTAGAGTAACGGGTGTCGCATCAAATTACTAAAAAGACCCCGTGGATAGGTGTTGCCGAGGTCGGAGCTAACATAGCTTTTCGGTCCCTGTGGTCAACAAAGTCATTCGTGCTGTCTTACGATCGTAAATCTCTCACAGATTGAGCAGTGCGTTTTATAATTTTAATGCTCGTAAGATTCCTCCTCCTCCTCACTTTGTCCTGTCACTAATTTGGTGCGATATTCGTTTTTTAGAAAATCATAGCATCTGCTAAAAAATTATTTTTAGCACACTTGGGCAAAGACATGGAAGAGAATCCCCAATAGGCCGGAGCCATCCTAGATGAATTATTAGCCATTGTCAAAGAAAAAGCCACCACGCAAGATCTTCGTGATATACGTAAACAAGTGACTAAATACATTGACGAAATTGAAACCTACAATGCACATGTGGGAGAACAAACTACTTTCCAACAGTTATACCGAGATATGATGACTGCCTTTTTAGCTTATGTCACGTATTTACAAATCATATACCGTGTTGTGTGACAATAAGTATTACGTATGCAAAACCAGTGTTGGAGTTAAGCCTCCGCTATCTTGGATTTTTTTGTGCCCTTTATTTGACCTTGAAACCGTTATTTTTTAAATAGATGCAAAAAACCAACACATACACCTACGCGAAATATCTAACCCTAACCCTAAAACCCTTCCCCTCGTAAACCCACACCGTATGAATTAATTTACCCCCCTCGTGCACCTACGTCGTATGAATAATAATGAACCCCTCTCGGTCGAATGACTCGGACCCAGGCCTCTACGGAATTGCCATACAGACCCCTAAACTACTTTCTTTTAATGATCTAAGATCAGTCCCATAAATGCGAAAACCTTTTTCCCCCAGTAAGTGGTCTATGAATGTAGCATGACTTCATTCGAAACATGCTAATCTCATTTCTGAGAGACAAACAAAATAATGCACATTGTGATTTTACCTTGGCAACAACTTTTAAAACTTTCAGATCTTTTTCAGTCAAGAATTAATGCATGTTCTAATTGTTATCTTTACCAAGCATCCAATACATGCCCTTATCTTTCTTAATGAGTCACAACTAGCGATATGTTATTTAAAGAGGAAAGAAATTAGGATATAGCGTCTTTTTTCACCAAAGGATTACTATATGTACCAAGGCCAATATGAGTCTAGTTTTAATGAAGTCCAAAAATAAGGGTATTTTAAGGTCCAGTATCCCTGATGACCAACCACTTCTGATCATAATTCCTGTATGGCCAGTGAAAACCATCACTTGACTTCCAAAAACAGTAAAAAAAAAATTTGGGTAACCGATTTCATTATCCGTGTTGAACTGAAATTTAAATCTAACTTACCGCTTTTGGTGGAAAAAGACTAATGCCAAGTTCAATTATATTGTGCAATAATTCCAGAAAAGATATTCAGGCTGTGATTTGTCTCCTCACTATGACAAATTTTACGTCATAGGTATCCCCACCTTAATCTATGATCATCTCCTCAAGACTAAAGCCTTTTACAATATCAAACATGAGCTGATTACTGTTTGTGATAAAGTAACAGCAGAGGTTTCCCTTATTCCGGCCCGTTTTCGAGAAAATTGGGCCACTGAGAACGAAAAAAAGTGTTGTTCCAAGTAACTGCCAGCCGATCTGATTAGATGTCGAGACAGTTTGGAGTTTGGTTTTATCGACTGAGTTGATAATGTAAAAAAGTCACATTAAAGTGTTTTTAAGCTGATTTTTCGAGCGTTCGCCCTTCGAATAGAGACGAAAACGGAGACTTACGAAAAATGGTCTCAATATTGGAGTATTTTCAAATGCATCGGTTTTGGAACGCTCCGCTCCTTGTGTGGACGAGTGAACACGGAGGCTTTTTGCAAGGTGACAAAAAATCGTCATGTATTGTCGCTTCTATTTGCGTTAAATTTTCGGTCGTTTTTTTAATGTGGACGACAGGTGGAAAACGTATGGTAAAATACGGATTATTTGATGAAGATGCCGAAGTGTAAACAGGAGAGAGAGAAAACGATGATTCTCAGCTTCCGACTTCTCAACCCTCGATTATTCTATTCGCTCCGACAACGGGCCAACGCTCGAAATGTCGGCTTTAATTATAAAAACTTTCTAGTGCATCGCTAATTTGCATGATATCAGCTCAGTTGATAAAATCATGGGATGTAATAAAGAGCGCTAAGGCCTAAATCGAGCGCCAAACGATATCGCACTTCGTGCACGAATTCGCAATCCTCTAACTCTACCTTTCTACGGCGGTCACGAAGGCTACAAACCGAAAGGGCAAAGTGATAACTTCTCATGGAGACGTTAATTTCCCACGCACGAGATTACTGTGTGATGGATGTCCTCCCCTGGGATGGGATGTGTGGGGGGAAAAGGTAAGGTCGTTACATGGACTAAAGCGGCTACCAGAGGCGCCTGATAACGCTGACGTCCGATCTCAACCTTAGTAACACTGTGGACCTCAGCAATTCAGTCTATGCTGCTATTAAGGTATCGTTTCACTTTCACTTAAAGAATGATATTATCATTATTACTCTCTGTCTCAGAGGCCACACCTTTTAGAGAGAGCTTGTTAATTGCCTTTGACGCAGCGAAAGCAAACAATTACATGATCCACCGCTTATGCACATCTTTTCTCTCCTCAAAATACAAGCTAGGAAACTACCAAGGACGAAAATCAACCTCTCAGTACATTCATAAACATTCACTTTTTATTTCTGTTGTGAAAAATGGACATCCCAAACTTTTCGTGATAAGGTGTGCAACCAATAGAGAGACGCGGTAACAGGTGAGTGTGAATTTTTGTTCTGTAACAGGGAGGCACCTGCGCTCTTGCGATTTGGCTACCTGTGGTGCGAACGCTATTGGAACCCTCCGATCGGACAAGTTGCCCTAACTCATGGGAAACTGTGATTACGTATTGTTATTACGTAACATGAAATAAAAGTGGTTTGAAACTTGCTTAAAAAGGTCGAACGTAACAACAACAACTAAAACAACGAAAAAAAATGGTATAAAAGATAACAAATGTACGGAATCCTGCTGTATTGACAGTTTTTTTTCTTCCATTATTCCGGACTCTGAGTAGCGATTGTTATGATTGCGTCATCAACGCCTTATAATTTATGCTATATAACGAGCGTTTGCGTCCATCGACACACGGTTCCTGACGGTGCTCATAGATGTAAACGAGATGCCGCAAGTTCTTTTGATGATTTCTTACAGTTGACAGGTGAGGATCGTCTGGATTCTGTCCATAACAAAGGGAACACGATGGCTGAATTGTACACTCTCGAATCGAACTCTCACCGTGATGGAAGCAAGCCCAAAATTTCTAGGGTGGGAAAACGACGCCGAAAAAATGGAACTTTCATACACAGCACTCATGCTCAATTGCAAGGAGATGAGGTTGGAGAAAATTCATCGAGTTCCTGTGACGGAACCCTCCCTCGGCAACAAAATTTGGCCCAAGGATGGCAAGATCTGTCTAAAGAAGAAATGGCCCTATCGGATATCGACACTTTCAAACCGTTGGATTTTAACGAAACTTTTTTAAATAAAGTCAAAGAAAACGACAGTTGAAGGGTAATATCCACTATGAACAAACTGGGGAAGTAGGAAGCTGACGAGCCTCTAAGTTAACTTGATAATGTATTGAAAATCCTTTCGCACTTCTGTCATGTCACTGTACCATAATTCAGTTTCCTGTACAAAATTTTATTTCTAATCCATTTTCACTGCATTACCGTAGTAGGGTAGGACTAGAACGGAACATATGCGATCCATGCGAGTAGTCCACCCATTAAATCCCACCCATCCCACCCATCCCACCCCAGTGGAGGACATTCATCACACAATAATTTCGTGTGTGGGAGATTAACGTCCCTGCCCCCAACCCTGCAGGAGACGGGACCTCCATTTATTCGTCCCTATCCGAGAACACTAGAATATCTAACCATTTCTTGATGTTATAGGAAGGTAGCATATTCTCCTCAATTATTTTAATTATTTCAATTATTTCGAAGAGTTTCCCCATCTACTTTGTTTTGTTTTTAATACTGAAGCTTAGCATTAAGTTAGGCTGTACTTCTTGCCAACTGTAGATTCCAATATCTTTAGCAAAAGTAGTGCGCTTTTCTGAAATGAACATGGCACATAGACCACTTCTATTCAACGAGTTTCCTTGCAGTTGACTAAGGTGGAGCCTCGATTCACCTTAGGAGATGAATTATTTCTATATCGCTCAGACTCAAAACGAAACGAATTATGTTTTTCGCTATGCAGCTTAGCTTTTCCTCCTGTATTAGGGAACTTTGCCTTCACAAGAAACACTAGTCTAAATATCAATTGCAATCTTACCAAAACAAACATTTTTGTTTTTCTTTTGTTGTCTTTCTTTTTTTTATTAGCTTTTTTCTTTCTTTTTTCCCTTATTTTCATTTTGTGTTTTGTGTAGTGTATACGCATGTGTGGTACCAGACCCTTCAATATAATCATTTAGTAATAACCTAAGTAAGGCTGCCCTCTCTTTTTCGCTGTCGATGATTATTATGGGCAGCCTGCACTCTTTCCATTTTTCGTGTATTATTTGTTTTTGTGTCGTGTTAATTAATGTAGGGTACAAATAAAATTGCTGTTGTTGTTAGTCTAATAATAAGATACAATTTTTATGTGGAAATTAGTCTATTGTTTCCCGTCAGTAAGTATAACTGAACTAACTGAATTGTAACTAATTAATTGTTACAGTAATTAGATAAATTAAAAGGGACTCTTCAAAGGTCTACCATTAACTTCTGTTTTCTACAAGAGCACCTCAATTTAACAAACTGTAGAACGCTCCGATGCTTTCCCACGTGGTAAGATCTACTTTGCATCCAATCTGTACAATCGATTCCAGGAATTCGAAGCCCGCCCTTTGTTCTTGTTTAGAGCAGGGCCAACTCGCAAGTTCCTCCATTGCTCTCGCTAGTAATTATCCCAATCGCTCTCCTCTTTCGCCTCAGTAGGACATTCCTCATTGCATCCTTAAGACTTTTGTTCCTTACTGTGTAAATCAGGGGATTCAAAGCAGAGTTTGAAAACACCATTGCTATGGACCAGGGCTGCAAAATCGAGTAAACTCTTGGGAAAGGAACTTGTGTGGGTTTGATCAAAATTCCTGGTATCAGAGACAGCAGAAGAACCATGCTAATAACAAACATATCGATAGCGGTCTTCTTTTCTCTCCGTAACACCGCTGTCAGCGTCAGTGAACCAAACGATTGTCTAAGTTCGCTGTTGTGACGGCGGATCGCGAGGTACATTCTAATGTGGTTTATAGTCGGGATAACTATGAACATGGCCAGCAATGTCATAGAAAATATTATTTCCAGTAGCGAGGACAGGAACAATTGAGCTAAGATGGTCAGCAAAAACCAACTAACTCCAATAACAGACACCGTTTTTACTGTCCCTAGGAAAATAAGAAGATCTAAATATCAGATACCTCTTGTGAGGTCTTTTCCACATCAGCACGTAAATGTCTCTTGTTAATTGCAAGAGCTAAGAGAAGAAAATTGTTTGCGAAATAATTTTTATGGAAGGAAAACTTGTCAAGTACACTTTTAGAGGAAACCTTACTGATGAAAACTAACTTCCTTTTAGTTCATCCTTTTCATTAATGTCTGCAAATTTCATCATCCAGGAGTGTTTCATTAATAATCTGGCGAGTCTTCTTGTTCAAAAACTAGCGAGTCAGTTCTTGGGAAAATTTGATTATTTGATCTACAGCACAGTCTCTTGAAAGTATTTTCAGTGGCAGTTACGTTTGCTACTGTTAGTCAGGTTGGATATTATAGAAATTACATTATAAGACGTTTGCACTGATAGTTAAGTCATGAATACGCGAAAAAAATAGGAATAAAATACCTTCGATAGTTACGCCCAAACGGTAAGCAATTGGTCTAGACAATGCATTGAGCCGATCAAAGCTGATAAAAGTTAGAAAAGCAAAGGACCATCCAGATGTTAACATTGTAGACGCATAGAAAGCAGTGAATAGGTCTTCTTGATAACTGCATATCGAGGAAACACGGTGAATAATCAACCGCAAAGCGACGAAAATTGGTAGAGATGTTAAACCAGTGAGGCAATCTGCAGCGGCTAGGCTACACAGCAGAATATTGCATGGCTTCTGTAACGACGGAGTTTTAATAATCGTCACAAGTAGGAGCAAGTTGCTACAGATTGCGAAACAACACAAGGGAACGGTAACTACGGCAATGAGGACATCGTTTATGTAAGAAGCTGTGTTGTTCTCTGGGAGACCAAACCACTCAGGCACACCACAAAGGGTAACTTCGCTTTCTTCTTCACTCATGTTTTCTGTTAAAAAAAAAATAAAAACAAAAACAACAAATCGTCATAAGATAAAGAAAGATGTTAGTAGCCTTTTAACGAGCACGAGGCAAAGAAAAGTTGACTTCCCATGAGGAATGAAGGTTAGTAAGTTAAAATAAAACACTTTGTTTTAAACACGTTTGCCCCGTCAACAAAGCTTACTTCCACAAGGGGCGTGTGGTTACAGATATTAAATTTAAAATCTAAAGATCGCATGAATCTAAGATAATTACTTTTAGTTTTAGATTGTGAAAATGATTCGCAGCATCAAATTTCTTCAGGGAGTGAGTCCCATAGTTAAGCACCATTTAAAGAAAAGTTATTTTCAGGTAAAAGCAAATGCAACGAGGTAGAGGATCCCCTAAAATTGCATTGAATGGTCACTCTTTTTGAAAAAATCTGAAGGTTTGGCGTTCGAATATATACTTAAGAAATGCAGAATCTTTCTTCCTTTACGTCGTATTGTCTATCTTCCTTCGGTATGGTAATGATAATGATAATCTTTAAGTTAGAAAACTTGCTTCCGAAACATAGCTACTACGTGGTAATGACTCAATATCCCACTAAAGGCACACTACAAATAAGTCTTGGCGTAGGAAAGTAACCTCTTTCATACCCAGGTAGCATTTACCAATATGTTTGCCAACATTTGCTTTTCCAAGATTTGTTTTTTTGTTTCCGACAATGCAAGAGCAAAAAAAAGGTATTTAGCAATCCCCTATTCTGTTTAACGGACACTTAATTTCATGACAGGAAATTTCACCGTGGGAGTAAAATGTTTAGTATAAACCATAGTTAATAGACGGGAGCTCTATTAACTATGGTATAAACCCAAAGAGTTGAAAATTTAAATGATACAGGCCTATCGATACAGCTCTGCGATTTTTTTCTTGTTATTTCAATAAAAATAAATAAATGCATGTTTTACCAATGAATGGAAAAGACAGCAGTAATAAAGCTATATAGCAATGTCAAAAACCATCGTGAAAATAACTTGGTGCCCTAGAGAATAATGCTTACCTTGATTCAAAAAATATTCTCGTCTTCGCTGTCAGATGTGGTGCACGGGTGGACTGATTTACATATTGCAAAGAAGCAAATCAAACAGGGCTTTATATCGAGTTTACATTTTAGCTCTGAGGGAAATTGTCAGCTTCTCTTATAGACAATTTCAACTGATCTTTTCAAAACATCATTGACAAATGATTATCCTTCGAAATGTTCAATTTCCGACTGCAAGATAGTTTACCTATATATTGATATCATCATGAATAATACACCATAAGACTTGACCGATCACTTTTTCCGTAAAAGTGAGACAGTTTTGTAGATAATACTGATCAAACCTTTAATCCTTCACTGGAAAAGGCCTTTGTGGTGTCATTCTTGTTGACCTCAGGTTTGACAGTTTGCTGACAATCTTTGCTTTCTTCCTGACTATCTTTGCTTTCTTCTGAAAAAGGCAGATTTATATTTACCAACATCCCACGCAATAATCAGCTAAACTTAACCTTGTGACTATTAGATGACACAATTCTAGTCATTTTGATTGGCTGTCACCTTTAATACAAGAGACATTAAACCGGTCATGCTATTGGGTGGACTGGCCTCGTCTAGCTCTTTTAGAGGTATCAGATGGTAATGTTCATTACAGTATTCTTTTGCAGTTGTCTTTTATATTGAATAATAAGTACTAAAGCTGAAAAAGATGTTTGACTCAAAGGTCAAGGAAAGCTTAGCCGTATATTTCACTGCCTGTGTACATCCTTTTTCGAGGCAAATCGCTTCGTCAGTAACGATGAATGTGGTAGTTTGAATAATAAGAATTGAATGCATTGGTCGCGCTTCAACGTGTCTCAATCCAAACACATATTAAACAGATCTGTTTATTTGTAAAGAAATATCTATCATGTAAATTGCATACAAAATAAAACTGCAAGAAAACTGGCTTCTTATGTTTGCAACATAAGCATATATATATAACGTTTTCAAGTACGGTGCAATTTGAAAATATACATGAAATATATGTGCACCTGCTGTTTTTCCTTTCAAACAGTGTTGACAGAATAAATTATTAGGTTATTATTTGTTTCATCTTCGCACAATGTAGTGTTCCTCCGATGTGAAATATACATGCATTATCCATCACCTTTTTAATATAATGAGAGAGGAAAAGGTATCTATAGGAAAATACAAGAAAAGGTACCATATATCTGATACATATTCTTTGAAATTACAACGTTTTCTGAAAACGGTTGATGTATTTTTTCCCAAATTTTCAGAAGCGGAGATCGAATTTCGATTCTGAGTGAGATTTCGCTCTATAGCTACATGCTATAATAATAATAATAATAATAATAATAATAATAATAATAATAATAACAATAATTTGTATAGCGCAAATTCCATACAATGTTCAAATGCGCTATCTTTTCGTATCCATTCATTACTCCCCTCCTATTCAGTGTTACACGGCAAGAATAATAGATTTAAGATTCTAATGATGATCATTTGTTATTCAGCAGCGATAATAATTCGTCCTATGTGAAAGGAACACCTTTCATTTGATACCTTCCAAATCAACTAAAAGTTTTTTACTAATCTCTTACAAGGTATATTTGTCCGGAAAATCAGTAGAATTTTTCTTTTTTCTTTTTTTTTCTTTTTTTTTTTTTTCGATGAGTATAATGCTGTTCCCGTGCTGTAGATTTTACCTTACCTATTGGAGGAAGAGGAATAAATTTTGTCTGCGCATGCCTAAAACTTTGAAACCATTAAAGTTTTTTTAAGTTTGGAGAGATGCCAAACTTGTCATTAAATCGCACCTTATTGTAAAAAAAGGACATACAGTTTGTTAACAGTGAATGACCGTCAAAAATCTATCCCCTATTACTTCTTGATTAAAGATCAAGAAATAGTGATTATTCTCACTTTTGCTATATTTTTTAGCCTACTAACCTTGATGCTTTCAGTCACTACCCACAGCATTAGTAAGATGGGTCCTTTCCATTCCACGGATGCATTTAATCAAAACTAGAAAGCGAATGCTTAAATATAGGAATGATATCTTGAGATACAATGAATATATGAAGTCTTTATGATGTCGAATCAAAATAGATCATGCGATTCTAAGAGTTTATCATGGTCATTTAAATACGTGCCACATTAGAAAGAAAGCAAAATACGGCCTTGCTTCAGTAAGTTGCGAGTCTTAAAGTTTTTGAACGTCTAGAGTGGCCAGAATTTGGTGTGGCTCTACGGAATTGCTTTGATTTCCAGTCTACGAATCTCATTGCTATAGTACAGTACTTCTACTGGTGCAAGAGATTCTTCAACCCGTTCATTACTGAGGGGAATTTGACCAATAAACTTATTTTTTAATTCGAATCTTAGACGCAAGGATACCTTTACCGTCGTGAGTTTTTCTCTACATCTAAATTCTGGCCAGTTTTGAAATAATTATTTTCGATAAATCTTTCCCGAAAAGTCTCTTTGCTTTAGAGCTTTCTAGAAACCTTGTATGAGCTCTTTCGCTACTTTAGTTGGTACAAATTATTTTGGATTTAAACTAAAGTAGAACGACAAGGTTTTGAGCAATGCAAAATGGAAAAGTAGGTTGATACTCTGAAATTAAACCAGCAATGCACGGATCGCATGAACGTATACGAATTATGGTCCACAAGAGTGATATCGAAAAAAGAAAGATGCAGTAAGTGATATGCTTCCTGAAGGTTACTTACAGCGTAAGATGCATGCAGCGTATTAAAATTGTTGACACATTTTTAGATCGCCCCGAGGATAGGAAAGGAGTACTAGATGGCAGTGTTCTTAGATCGAGATTAATTTGATATTTTCACGAATGATTTATATAAGAAATTTAATCCTGTACAAAGATATCAATATGCAGACCGCGTCAACAATAGACAGGTGAAATAGTACGTGCGCCTGATGTACGTACCCAAGAATCGTAACTTTATCCAAGATGTAGGAATTTTAAAGATAAATTTTTTCTGTTTTTATAAAAATGGTTTTCATGCCTTTTAAAATCCTCTTTTTTCTGGTGATTTCAATGTAAGCGTGATTCAAGTTAGATTCATTATATGCGCCATGATGTAGATCATAATTGGTAAATGTCCTCGTAAAACCCCTCATTTTGCAATGTGATATGTATATTAACTGCTCGTCATCTCTTTCATAATCTCAAGATCCTACTGGACAAATTAGTTGAAATTTTTAACCAAACTTGAAAAAGATAAGATTAACCAGTTACTGTGTGTTTGATGTTAAGTTAGAGCAGGTTTCAACTACGTGTCGAAAAACCGAAATTAAAGTAAGTACAACGGTTACTAAAAACACAGATGAAACTTACTATACGCTCTTGAGAACTCAAACTAAAAAAAAGCCGGGAAAACACGGATTTCAAAGTCGCAACTAGTTTTGATTTTGCATCTGATATGATGAGGGAGTGGTGGGGACCAATCACAGAGCGAAGTAAACTGAAACTTTTTTTGCTTTTCATTTTGTAATTTTGTTTTACCTTCTGAGCGCTCTCGCGCTCAAATGAAGGTTTTTCAAATTACACAGATCTGCATCCAATCACAGAAAGATCATTTGTTATTTCTTTATCAAGAAAACGTTATTTTAGGCACATTTCTACTTGAGTTTTTGTTTCCTTTTTTTTGTATTTCGCAGGTGCAATTAAATCCGTCTTATTTGGCAATTCCTTGTGGCTGCTGTGAGCATAGTTAGTAGAGGGGACTGGAGTCCGCTCTACTAACTACGCTGTGAGCTGGTGTGCATGATCCCCCACAGAATTCATTTTGCCTTCGAGTCTTGCCTAGAATATTGCTTGGCGAGGGTTTGCTTGGTGTTCATTTGTTTTGATTCCAATTGGCAATCACGAGATAATGGTTCTCTTCGTCCGAAATTACAACAGTCAATTGGCTAACGCTCTAACTGCAGCTCAGAAGTCACTTATGATACAACGAGAGAAGAAAATGGCTGTCAGTCAACATGTGTATTGTTACTTTCATACTCTTTGCGTCCTTGTTGCTTGGGCTTGCCCTGAGATCATTGCGAAATCTCCATCCAGATTTATATTATATGCCCTTTTTTTTTTCTAGAGCTTCAACTTTGCCATTAATCACATGCATAACCTGAGCCGTCACGACCCGCGCACAAAAGATCTAACTCTAAATCTCCTACTACACCTCTAAACTTGACTCCAATCAATTGCAAATTCAAACTAGAAAATCAAATTGAGCTCTTTATGAGCGATTATAATACCTATGGTGAAAGACATGTCTCTACATCCTGTGGAAATTAAATTATGAAGCCTAAACGAAATTCTCTCGGGATCCCTATCAATGATTTCGTCGGGAATATACTGTGATCCTGTAATGTTTTCCCTCCAATGACTGATGTCGGTTTTTGAAAAATTAAAATTGCGCCATTTCTTATCATAAGAGTGATGTGTTAACGATTTCTGGTGCAAAACTTCAGCCATTAGTGGAGCTTCAATTCGCGAGCATGGGAAGAGTTGGATCGAGAGAGAAAGAGACTGGACTCCTGTTAAGCCAGTGATAATATGAAGCAAGAAATTTTGCGCCCTCTGCTTATCTTAAGATAGATTGAAATGGATTTACAATCTGGAAAATAAACTCAAGGGTCTTAAGAATCACTTTCCTCCCCATTCGCAGCTTTGGTCATGGTAATTCAACTAGAAGATTCTCTGGAAATATTTGACAATTAGAGACCGTTGCTAAAAAAATGTCAGACCAAATTGTTTTGAGACCTTTTAAATTGATATACACTAATCGACATGGAGCATTTCTATCAATTTCAAAATCGAAATCGATTGAACATAGGAGCGACCCTTTTTCAGTACAGAGCCACCTTAAAATGTCTGTTAACATGAACCAGTTGAATTTTACCGAAGGGATGAAAGTTTACACTTGGTTTGTGCTGACCATAACCGCTTTATTTCTCTGTTGCTATTTGCTTAACTATAATTATCGAAAAAAAAATAGCATCTAATTCTATTTTTAATCTGGATAATTACTCCAATTCATTTATTGCGTAGGCAGAGCGATGCACGTGTCATGTAATCACTTTAACGTTTTTGGAAAGAGGAAATTACATCTTAGCGTCTTTTAACTTAAAATAAACGTCAGTAAAGTTGGACAACAAGATTCAAATGCACTTTGGTTTTATCAACTCAGTTGAAATTGTAAAATGGCTCCCGGAAAGAGTTTAAAAGCTGACGTTTTGAGCCTTAGCCTTTTTTGTCAGAGTGAATGACGAAGGGCTAACACTCGAAACGACAGCTTTTTAACTCTTTACGGTGGCCAATCTACAATTTTAACTGAGTCGATAAAACCAAATTACCTTGTTACCCCTGACCGACACGGTACCACAGTTTCTTTAGAAACTTACCCCCTTTAATAATGATGCATGAAATTAAAGAAAAGTCACTCCGTGGGGGATTTTTATAGATGAGATTGGTCTCAAGCTAATTAAATGAATTTGCCTTATTTGGAACTTCACGTGAATTAAAATGAAATGTGATACTTTAAGGTATGTTCCTTGTGAAGAACGAGCTTGCATTATCCCTATACGTGTTAAAACACCTCAATGTGTTAAGAACTATGAAACGATCTGCTGAGCTTTAAAGAGTTAAACATTGAGGGAAATTTATCTCGTTTGTTAAGATTCGTATAGTACACTGATATAGATAATTTCAATATCAAGAAATTCAGCTGTTTTGTATATATATATGTTTTTTTTAACATTAATTCTTTTTGCATCTGCTGCTTTAGAATAAACCGACTTGTAAAGTACGTCAATCAGACTTACGGTCAGTAAAAGTTTCGTTTTAATACAAAACTTTTATTTGAAACTAATTTCAGCGTTACTCAGTTTCTGACCCATTCTTGGAATAGCCTTTGGATTTTAGTTCCCAACTGATATCAAGCAGTCAAGACCGAGTTATTGTATATTCAAAGAAGTGAAGCTCACTTTTCTTGCCACGGCTCTTCCTTATCACAGCTTCTCTCGATGTTCCTCTTTTCTTCCTGACCGTCAGCTTCCAATTCGTGGTTCTTAAGAAACCACTTCTTTATCCATGGCAATATTTCGACCTGTACTTCTCTAATGTTTGACTAACTTTAAATTTTGTAATTCGTCCTGAAATTACCGCGACTCTCCTTTCTTACTCTTTTAAAACCATACTGATTATCCTTCTATTTTATCAAGAATAATCGATTAAGCTTGAAGTAATAGATTATTTTACAATTTTAGATCAGGTCCTTGAAAACATTTAACCTGCAGACCTAAACTTGTAGCTACAAAATGATTACCTAAAGCTAAGGAAAAGCCCTGTTCGATAAAATATAGGTCAACCTCTCCTTCTCACCTTTCATACCAGCTCAAATCCTTGTTTCCAGTCTATAACGAGAAAGACTGGCGAGGCTCCTTTGGATGTTTAAAGCCACATGAATGGAGAATACAACCACCATGCAACACTGATGCATAAGGTGGCTTCGGCTACCTCTCTACTCTGGGAGAGGTACATAGTTATATGCATCATATTCCTGATAATTTAAATAGGACCGCACAATGATTTTTTTTTTTCGTGGCAAGCTATTTGGCATGAGGTATTAACACCAAATTAGATCGGTCACAAATTACGTATGAAATCAATATCAATTACTGATTAGACATACGGACTCTATATAAAATGATTTCTACCTGTCGTTAAAAAAAAGCCATAAAATCTGCATAAACCTCTCTGAACGTCCACTAAAATTCATCTTCGACCATCAATTGTCTGATGATCACCATTTACCCTTCAAAAAGTAAGGTAAATTTCAGTTTGAACATAAAGGCAAGAAGAAACGGTGAAACATATGGGCATCGTTAGGGATGACATAGGTATCTGATTCAAAACGATCTTCCTTGCTGTAGCTAAAGATTAAATCAAAATTATTCCTTTGCTCTTACGGCTTTTTTTGCCCGTTCGTTTTAAAGGCAGCGATTGACACAAAACGATCTTACTTGCTTATGTTTAGGAAAGAATAAAATGTAACTCTTTGGTTTTTACATCGTTTAGGCAAACCGATATTTCCTTTAGAGATAGTGGTTGTTCTTTCAGAGGTAGAAGCGTGGAGTAGGAAAAATGTAATGTCATTTAAGGTCATCATTGTCACATTTTCATTCCAATGACTGAAGTTCGAATACTTGTTAAGTATGGGCCTTGTTAACTTTGACGCTTTTTAATCGAGAGTCAGTCCAACTGACTAAGTCGATGTTGTACGACGATATTTTCTTACAACATCTCTGTTAGACGGAAACATACTTTTCCCGTCTGTCTGTGTTGTTTTAGTTTTAACTAGCAAACTGTGATTTCACGATAATCTTTCACACAATCGAAGGCAAACATTGAATTACTCAAAGCACAACGAGAAAGGGAATCAGTTTAGAATGGTTCAAAGTTGCCGATATGCAGCGAAAGTGGACAGTTTTTCTCTTTTTTATTATCCACCGCTAGCCACTGACACTGAATTGAATATTTTTTTTCGCATATACTTCAACAGTAACATAAATATGGCACAAAAAGATCATTTAACTAATTTATTCCTGCAACGATTACAATATTTTCGGGCGCAAATCATCTGCGCGCAAAGCTCGAAGGTGAATAGCAAAGTATATTCAGAGTTCAGCGGCCAATCAGAGCGCACCCTCAACGCTGTCCACTGTTTAGTACATCCTAACGGTCGCTATTCAGAGACGATGGATTCATCCTCTGTTAAAACATCTCTTGCAAACCTATTCTTGAAAAAAGAAATCTGACCGCGTAGTAAAATAAACTCTCGAAAGCCTGAAAACCAGTTCACCGTTAAAAAAAGTCAAATGTCATGATAATTCAATCATAACAATAAAAAAATGACAAAAATAAAAATAACACATAAACGAACAAAAAACCAAACAAACTAAGGAGAAACATTGTCCCGGCGGCCTGCAGAATCACAGAAGTCGCGCCTGTGAACAGATCAGCGGTTTCCGAGAAGGCGCGGCTACTAATGCATTATTTTTCACGTGTCTGAAGTTTTCTAAGTGTTTAGACTGGACAACAAGACATTAGAAAAGATAACATTTTAAGTTTCTCTTTGGGAACTTACTATGGATAGACACATAAAACAGAAGAAGAAGAAACTGCTCAAGCGAAAAATGCGTCCCAGTGATAAAGTGATCGAAAAAGGTAAGACATATCATAAACCGGTAAACCACATGTGCTTGAGATGCAGTTCGTGTCGAGTGTTTTAACTTTGTCCACGTCTATGTAGTTGATATTTTACTGTGATTTGCAGTTGCAAGGGCTAAGAATGTCAAGGGGAAAAAGAAAAATCGAGGAATAAATGTATCTGATGGAGAAACGAAGACGCAAGGTTTTAATGTCTCAGACAAAGAATCGCTTTCCAAAGGTACAGTGTAACACTTAGATGAAGTACTTACATTTGAACGCTGTAGGCCACTTACATGTACCTCTCACACTATAGTGGAAATTCTCATGTGGCTGGCTCATCGCTAGCTGTTATGGCCAATATTGTTGATGCACAGGCTAATTACTTAAATGTTTTGGTTTGAAACCTAGATACTGATACTAGTGTGCTGTCAAATAGTGATGGCTTGGAGCCTCCTGTAGCAAAGAAGAAGAAAAACTCCTATGAAAGTGTTAGCTTACTGCAAGGTAGATTATAATGCGTAATCTACACAACTGTACACAACACACTTTTGATCATGTTGATCCTACGGTAGAAGTATACTGATGTAGCTCATGTGTGAACTGTGCTAGTACCAAGAAGAGCCCAAGGTCACTGTCAGTCAGTTGCATGTATGAAAGAATCACTTTCCGAAGGTACAATGTTAAACTTACTGTACACAAAGCACTAACATTTGGACACTGTAGGCCATTTATCTGTAAAATCGTAGTGGCAATGCTCATGTGACTGGTTCATCGCAAGCTGTTATTGCCAATATTGTTGATGCAATGGCTAATTACTTAAGTTTTGTGGTTTCAAACCTAGATACTGATACTGTGCTGTCAAATGGTGATGGCTTGGAGCCTCCCAATGGAAAGAAGAAAAATTCCTATGAAAGTGTTAGCTTGCCAGAAGGTATATTGTAACACTTACTGTACTCAATTGAACGCTGCATGCTTTTGATCTTGTTCATCCTGCTGTAGAAGTATGCATGTAGCTCATGTGTGAACTGTGCTAGTACCATAGCACCCTAACGTCACTGTCAATCAGTTACTTGTATGATATGCTGAATCATACTTGCATCTTGACTTGCTCTTACTCGTGATTTATTGGAGAATAGATACATAGATAATGTCACCATTAACAGTATTTTGCCTTGTTATTACATTAGAAAACGAAATAGTTTCCATACAAATAGAATTTTGGGCTTGGTAAAGAAATAAAGAAAGATGCCTTTTGCCTTTTCACAAGCATGGGACAAAGAAAAAATTCTGAGTCCCCCTGGGGAATCGAATACCCTGCGAGGAGAGCCTTTTTAACCCATCCTCGGATCGAAAACGGAAAAAGGCTCTGCCGACATCCAGTTGTTGCTCATTTGAACATGCGCGGTGGTTGCCTAGAAACTGATTCTTTTCCAGGCCCCCTTTAAACTATTGTGGGCGCAGATGTGGTCATCTTTGTACATGAAAAACAAAGGCGTGTGCACCAAAACTGGTTTGACTGGAGGCAAAACCCGCTTGACTAGCCCGGAGTTTTGGGCTTTCAGCATTTCAAAGCAACAACAGGATGTCGGCAGAGCCTTTTCCCTTGGAGGGTTAAAAAGAAGAAAAAGCTCGGCTCACAGGGTAGGAATCGAAACTCAGACCTTCGCATTCCATACACTGTGCTGTAGAGACTATGGTGAGCAAGGCCCATTATGAAGTTCATGCGTGACATGTGTCCTGCATACTGCTAGGATCAGTAATGTCGATAGTGTCATGTTGCCAAGGATCTATCTCTACAATAAAAAATCACAGGAGATGTCAAAATGTGGCAAGAAATAGAAAGAGCACACAAGGTGTAACCCCATTTTTTACATCTTCTTTGATATACTCCTGAGCAGATCCACAGAACACAAATGCATACCTGTACTTTCTTCTTTTTCAGATGTTTTAGTTCCAGATAGTACAGAGTTTCAGTCCCTGAAAGAATTTATGAGTGAGAAGACACTTAATGCAATTACTGACATGGGCTTCACTAACATGATGGAAATCCAGCACAAAAGTATTGTACCACTGCTCAAGGGAAGGTATGTGGGCAATGTCTGGTGTGTAGCTGATACTTTTGGAGCACTGCATGTACAGTTGACAATTATGGATTCAGGGAATGATTGGGTTTGAGGTTGGATGTTGAGTTTTGAGATTAAGACGAGAGAACAAAGGAATTTTCACTTAATTTTTAAATTCTTGTAAATAAAAGCTACCTAGTGTACTCTAAGTCTACATCTATTTCATGGGATGAAGTCTTTGCAGTGAGCAGCTATTTTACATGAGTTTTGTGATACAGTACATACACATGTACATGTACATGTACGTACCTTTACATTCACATAGAAAAGGTTTTATAATCTAAAAATCTTTAGTTGGTCAAATCCATTTTATTTGGTGGTGGAAAGCCATAGGAATGATTTCAATCAAATTTCTGATACAGGAGAAGGTAAGGAAGTAGGTACTGTACTTCTTATGAACGACTGAAGGGCAAAAATCCATTGTAAAGATTGTGCATTGATTTTCTGTTTGGAAATCATTTTAACAACCAGATATTTTTGTCAACTCCAGCCTGTGCTATTAGTACATTGTATCTTTGTGTTAAAAGTTCCCCTTGATTTCAAAATTTCCATACCAGTTTGATTTTCATGGTGTAGGGTATGATAATGTATTGAATGCCAGACAAAGAAAACTGAACTTAAAATTGTTTTGAAACTTGTAAAACCACAAAAATGTGAACCACAGTATATACTTACTGTACAACTCAGTAATGTTTGATTGGTTCTTATGTTATGGTCTTGGCCTCTTTATGACTTGTAGCTACATCATTTGTACATTTACAATCATTATGTAAGCTAGTATCATTCATGAGAAACCAAAGAGAATTTCTTGAAGAAAGTTAAGAGCATTATTTTTGCTATTTGTAAATTCTATCCAACTACATTGCACTCTGCAAGATTTTAATAATGAGTTTCCTGTGTTAGGGATTTGCTAGGAGCTGCCAGAACTGGCAGTGGAAAAACTCTGGCATTTCTCATCCCAGCAGTGGAACTGCTGTACAAGCTGAGATTTAAGCCAAGAAATGGTAAGCATCTACATGTGTATGTATGTTGTCTTCATTACTTTCTTGCAGTTGACTTCTTTTTACTTATTATGTTCTGCATTGTATAATGAGAGGGATGGTGCCCTTGCAGTTGGATCCTCAGACCCTGAATGAGAAGTCTAGGACTTGGTGGGGTTGTGTAGTGTTCTTTGGCAAGGAAATTTACTCCACAGTGCCTCTCCTTGCTCAGGAGTATAAAGTTAAAAGGGTCTCAGCAAAATTTCAAGAAAAATTGACCAATTTCTGGGGCCTTGTGCTCTGGTCAAAAGAAATGCTTATACTCTTCAAGATTCTTCAAGCTATGAAACCTAATGAAAAGTCTGGTCGCAAAGAATCATTAGATTAGTAACACCCAAATTATTATTATTTCTCTTTAATGTATGTAACTTTTGGCATTTAGGTACAGGAGTGATTATAATCTCACCAACAAGAGAGCTGTCTCTTCAGACCTATGGTGTGGCAAGGGACTTGCTCAAATACCACAATCACACATTTGGGATTGTCATGGGTGGAGCCAATCGCAAGGGTGAAGCAGATCGCCTGCAGAAGGGTGTCAATTTACTCATTGCCACCCCTGGAAGGCTGCTGGATCACTTACAAGTGAGTTTTGTGATTGATACAAATGTACTCACGTATATATTTAGCTTTACATGTATTTTTGTGAAGATTGTCCACTACAATTGTCAGGTACATGATTTTAAATGCTAGACTCCAGATCAAGGGATTTGGTTTCAAGGCCAAGTGAAGTCATGGCATCATGTTCTTTGGCAAGACCTTTCACTTACTTAGTGCCTATCTCCCACCCAGGGTTGTGCAATACATGGCTGACACTAATCTGTCCAAAAAAAACACAAAAAATATGTTACAGTTGGAATTAAATCTGGGTCAACATTGGTCACTTTTTTAAAGAAAGAATGGCTAAGTGTATGTACAGTACCCTGTATGTCAGTAGTTACTAGTAAGAACATTTTTTGAGGGAATGTATTAGAAGTGGGATGGGGATTTAGAGAAGCCTGCTGCACTGTGGATTGAATGGTTTGGGTTGTGAAACGTAGCAAGGTACTAGGTCTCTGTGTTGTATACTTTGACAAGATGCTTTACTCTCACCCCAGTCTCTCCTCCCATGAGTTTAAATATTCACTAAGTTCTTTCTGATCCATTTCTCAGAATACACAAGGTTTTATTTTCAAGAATCTCCAGTGTCTGATCTTAGATGAAGCTGACAGAATCCTGGAAATTGGCTTTGAAGAGGAAATGAAACAAATTGTCAGACTTTTACCCGGTAAGATGCAGGGATTTTCAATGGATTACCATATTTAACTTAATAATCAGTTTACTTCTTTGCTCTTGATGTGACTATTGCATGATAGTTGGTGAGGGAAAGGTGGTGATCAACTCTCATGCAAAGAAAGTGAGATTGAATTGTGTAGATGTTTTACCATAAATCTCTTAATGATCGTTCAAAACTTAACAACAAGTCAGGCTAAAGTTTAACCCTGAACAAACAGGTGACACCAGATGTTATGCACTTATCACACTTTCTAGTAATGACTAAAAGTAGCTCAGCTAATCACATTGTAGCATTTGTGATAGGATATTGATTTGTAGATTTGCATTCTAGTTGAAGATAAGTATCTTAATACAAATAGTATATTCAATAACAGTGTTCAGTAGATGAGACAAGAGAGGAATGGTGCACAATTAATTTGATACCGGGTTCATTTCTAGTTCGCAGGCAGACAGTTTTGTTTTCAGCCACTCAGACAAGGAATGTTGAGGAACTTGCTCGTGTTTCTCTCAATAAGTCTCCACTCTATGTGGGCGTTGATGATCACAGTGAGACTTCAACTGTTGAGGGCCTTGAACAGGTAAAGACTTCATGTATTTAATACTGTTTTGTTCCACCAAATTTTGTTTGCAATCTTGGTCAGAACTCAGATATAAAACCAATGTTCTGCTGTCTTTTTTACAATTCAGGGATACATTGTGGTTCCTTCAGAGAAACGTTTCCTAGTGTTGTTCACTTTCCTGAAAAAGAACAGAAATAAGAAGGTTATGGTGTTTTTTTCATCCTGTAACTCTGTCAAGTACCACTATGAACTACTGAACTACATTGATCTGCCAGTGGCTCACATTCATGTAAGTACTGTGTAACTCCCTCTCCCACGATGCCATTGGGACTGAAAAATAGATTTATGAGAGAAAAAAAACGTATTCATTTTAAAGAGCACCTGAATAATTGTGATACTTGTCAAATTACTAAATGCTATCGCCTTGATGATTGCTTCCAAATACTCTCCTCTCCTTCTCCTAAAAATTACATGACCACACTCATTGTAACACTATCACGTGCTTCTGCATTTAAGGGAAAGCAAAAGCAACAAAAACGTACCACAACGTTTTTTGAGTTTTGCAATGCTACTTCTGGAACTTTGTTGTGTACAGATGTGGCTGCTCGGGGACTGGATATCCCGGAAGTGGACTGGATTGTTCAGTTTGACCCCCCTGATGATCCCAAGGTAATTTAATGATGTGCTCTTGATAAAAAGCAAAATTATTGTTAATTTTTTTTGCAATGTTCTCACACATCAACGATTGATGGTACAGTATTGACACAGCAAAGAAGAGTTCCTATTACTGAAGATTGTTTGCAATTTTTCGTGCGTGATTGCAGTTCACATCGACTTTGCAATGTCTTACTGTGAACTTGTGTGTTTTTGGGTGCTAGGAGTACATTCACAGAGTGGGAAGAACTGCTCGTGGAAATGAGGGGCGTGGTCATGCCTTACTTCTCTTATTACCTGAGGAGCTTGCTTTTCTAAGATATCTCAGGCAGGCCAAGGTTAGTTAGATCTTAAACCAGGGGTACATGCCTGTTGGCATCCCGTTTAATCTTTGGGAAAGAAAGGTCGGTCATTCAAAGGAAGTCTAACTTTGGCTTTGATTTAGAGCGGTGAATCGACATTCATGTACTGTGCGTTTTTCGAAGATACTAAATGTTATTGCAGTGTCAGTTACAAGATTTTTCGACGCTGTTCACAAAATGGACGTTTGCACTGTTGATACATGTGTATGGACATTGTATAAATATTAGATGATTTATAACGCTGTTTTGCTAAATCATGGCGTAACTTCAGAATTAAAATAAATAAATGAAATAACCGGCTTAGGAGGATCGAGTTTCGACGGATTGTCAACTTTTCTTGAGCGGTAATGTAAGTATTCACTCAGAAGTGGTAATTGTTTCGTTTACAGTTTAAATACTGTGGAGATACTGCAACTCACACGTTGTGACTAGTACACTATTTGGGTATTTTAAGCCTAAAAAAGTGAGGTTGATTTTTGTTGTTTCTTTTTTTGTTCAAGGTTCCCCTCAATGAATATGACTTTTCAGCATCAAAAATATACAACATTCAATCCCAGGTAAAGTATTTTGTTTTTTGCGAATCTGAGTACAGCAGTAATGGTTCCAATTAGATGCCACAAGGTTGTATAACATTAGCATTGCTGTTTTACACGAGGATCGAATATGCTTTGATTTTGTTGAAAATCTTTGCATGTTCTCAGGTGTTTATCCTTTAAATTAGAAAAAGCAGAGTTACGTTTTTCTATCCTCAGTAGCAATTTGTTTAAATTCCTAAGTCGACGCCATGAACATTAGGAAAATGTAATTCGAGCGTCCAGATTTAAATTATTTGTCAGAAGGCCTTACGAACAAACGATCTCACTTTATTGCGAGATTGACACTTTTTCATTGCTTTTTTTGTTTTGCAAACTATTTACGAATTTAAAAGTAATTTTTTCTCACAGCTGGAAAAACTGGTGGAAAAGAACTACTACCTGCATAAATCCGCTCGGGAAGCCTACAGATCGTATTTACAGGCGTACGCCTCACATCAACACAAGAGCATTTTTAATGTGAACGCTCTCGACCTTCAAAGAGTATGTCCTGCCTTTGGCTATGTGGTCCCTCCACGAGTGAATCTTAGTATCCTTTAACAACGTCAAAACTCTCTTTAGCCTATCTTCAAAGGTCTTTATTGTTTGATTTGGGTGAATTTAGTGTTCTAGACAAAGACAAAGTTTCCTAGCTAGAGAGACTTGACGTCTTCCGCGATTTCATTTATGAGCTAACATTTACCATCTTTCTTATTCTTTTTACAATCCATGTTCACCTTTACTTCCACGGCATCTGATTTTACTTTAGTACTAACAAACCGCAGATAAGCCACATCCTGAATTTGGGAACTCAAATTTTGGGAGAAGTGGGGCAGCATGGACGCCGGTGATAACAGTAGTTTGTATATTCAACCTTAACAAATTCCACCAGATGTCCACAGTAGTAAAGGAGAGAGAATTCAGAGACGCGGGGGCGGCGGAGGGTTTGGTGGGGGATACAAAAGCTCCAAGTTACAACAGAAAGCCAAGATATTTAAAAAGAAAACCGGCGATTCGAGACAGTTCACCAGATAAAAACGGAAAGTTTATGGCGTCCACTTCTGAATAAAGTATAAATTTGAGCATTTCCTTGTCTCTAATAGGAATGATACACTCGTAAGCTATGTACGCTGCAGAGTGTATTCAAGAAGCAAATTATTTATTTGAGACATGAGAATGCAGGGGAACTATACTGAATGATTAGTTTAAATTTCGAATCGTTTTCTACGACAGGCAAAACTAACTCGAACCAAGAAAAAAACCCAAAATATCAGTTTAGTAAGATAGGAAAATACCAAAAAATAAAAAGAGTGAGTCGAAGAGGAGAGAGAGGAAGATTATGGAAGGAAAAGATTGACAGGGGTAGCAAGTAACTAGCTCTTTCATGATAGACAAACCATGAACTCTTTTCTGCTTCATGTTTATATGTTCCTGCATACCGACTCAGCCAGGCCTTAGAGCAGAACTTCATTTATATACTTAAATGTATTATATCACTTTTTTCAGCTTTCCACAACGCAGCTTATCGCGCAGGCGAGTATTGTTTTGAGCATACACGTTCAAGCCCTCGCGCGTGAACTACATTTTGTAGATTTCATAATAAACCGGAAGCATCTTGGATAGGGGGCTCTGCTGGCGCGCTTTGCGTGCTTAAACTCCGCTAGAGACGTCAGCAATACTATCGTTATTCTTTTCTTATTTTTACAGGCAACTAGATATTTGTTAGTTTCATACCTAGGTAGACTACAGCTTGGTTCCCATAACGTCCTCATCAAGTGCTATGTCATTGTGACATGCTCTTACTTTTGTCTCACTTGTCGAAAAGGTTGCGTCGTTACCTTTGATTACAACTATCTCCGTGTTCATTTCGGCTCGCTTTCTGACACAGCTGAAAGCCATTGCTTGTCGAAACTCAGGAATTCTCAGTGCATACATAACCGGATTTATAAAAGCATTAGAGCAATTAAGAGCAAAAGTAATTACGAACCATCTTGTTGTTACTGAAACACTCTCATTCAGGAGAGTGGATGAAATAAGCAGAGGGATCCAGCAAAGCAAAGTAACAAAGGAAGCGAACATTAAAGTCTTTGTCAAACGAACATTTTGCTCGTCTCTGTTTTTCTGTTGTGACGTGATGTTTCCGTGTTGGAATTTTCTCCAAACGGCGATGTTGCTTCCGCAAATGAGGCTTATTGCAGAAACACTGTTTAATGAACCAACATACTTGATTAAATTGTGGTACGGTCGTAAATAAGTGAAAACAGCGGCTTCCAGAAGACTCAGTGTCCATGCAATAAACAAGACAACGTGGTATGTTCGCGCGGTTATTGTTTTGTGTTTGAATGGCCAATATATAGCGTAAAACCTCTCGCATGATAGGAAGGCTGCAGATGTCAATGAAACCCAGACTGATGTAATGTACAAGAGCTGAAAGACGCGAGCGAAGGTCCAGTTCGCATCTGACGGCCAAAACTGATAACCATTGCTGATCAAGAGGTAGATGTAAATAGGAAGAACAAAAGCTCCTAACATTAGATCAGCCAAAGCCATATATTGATCATAAGATACAGACTTTTTTTACGGACTCTTTCGTTAGCTACGAAGATAATGATTGTGAGGAGGTTTCCAACGACCATTAAGAAAGAGAGCAGGGAGAAAACAGCGCACCATGCGATGCCTTCTGGCCTTGAAAAAGCATTTAACGATGAATCAATTTTTACATCTATGCTATAATTTGGAGAAGATGTGTTATTCATCGGGAATATCTCGCGCAAAAAGTTATCTGCTGAAGCGATTGAGTTGAACACGCCTCTAAAGAAAACGTTTTTTTTCAGTTTGCGCTGCTGGATTATATGTACTGGTCAGGAAGAGCAAATGAAATCTTAAAATATATTGATAATACCTGCTTTATCCTGCAAAGAGGTGTTTTGAATGCAAATAAGTAATTCGTTGACAAATTACTTTGTGTCGGCATAGAAAGATATTTCATTATGCACACCAATTGGATTACCAACTGTGTAATTTTTACTGAAGAGTGGAGAAAAAACTGGTATACTTCTGTTATAAGAAAGGGAAAGAGATTCTGATCATAAATTTTATTGACAAGAAAGTCTCGGAACGTACTTTCCTTGACAAAGCGAGAGTGATCTCTCGGCTGATACTCGTTAAAGAATACTTGTGACCGACAGCTTTGCAATAAAAATAGTAGGAATTTCCTGTTAACTGTAACATTTAAATCGCGCGTGCGGTGCCCCTTTTTGATAACACATACGGATCTTCAAGTCAGAGGTCCTTGTTATTTTCATTATTTTTCTCTTCCACAAATTATTGCACAAATTGCTTTGGCCTAGAGCGGAAGAATATTCTCTCAGTATCTGCATCAGTAGGACCTGTTTGTGCTATTTTGGTTTCTTTCTGCAAATCGAGAGCCCTGATGGATAACGAAAAAGGTCTTTATCTTTTTTTGTAGCAGATGTTTGCACTGTCGCCAATTTTTTATTAAGCAATTGGAACAGTTATTCTCTACCATAAATTAAACAAGACTGACAATTTTCAAAAGATTCACAAGCTGGGGTGATATATTTTGGGATCAAATTTCTTTGTATTAGCAATCCAATCTCGCGTTCACCCAGCACGAGCATCCCTTCAAAGCCGGGACTCATGTCGGAGAAAACAGGTTCATTTGATTATTCAAGCATTTGGATTGGATAAATTAGCCTCAACTTTTAAAATGTGTTGTCTATGCTGAGTGCTGAGAGAAGTCAGGCAAAGAAGTATTTTTTTCAACTAATTATTGCACAAATTACTTGAATTTACAAAGAACAAAGATTCCATTATGGACATCCGTAGGGTTTACAAGCTCGGTTACTAGTATTTTTTCTGGCTAACTGACTGCAATTTAGGAGTTAAGTGGAAAGAAAAATCTCATTCTGTAGATAATCGATATCTTCTTTTTCGTGCTGGGGTTAGAAATAAATCAAAAGTTTTCCAAGGTTTAGGAAATGTAAAAAAAAAAAAAAAAAATTATAATAATCTAAAAAAGTTGGGAGGAGTTAAAGGGAAAGTAAGAAAATTGACGTAGTGTGCCGGGAGCTTGGCGTCTACATATTTTATGCCCGCTAACTCGGCTGCGGTACTTGGCAGTGAAAGAGTTTCACTTTTCGTTTTCGTCCATCTGCTGGTATCACTTTCGATTTGAAATTAAGCAAAGAAAGAAAATAATCTGTCCGTTAATGCTATACACTTTGTCCGAAAAAAGCGCCTCTGGAGATTAAATTTAAGCTTACTCCCTCTTCGTAGTCAATATGGCTTGTGCTGATCTGATATTAGGAGCCTTTGCTCTTCCGATTTCTGTTTACGTCACCATTAGCAAAGACTACTAGGATATCATGATTTGGAAAACTGAGAAGTGTAAACTCACTGTGGACTTTGTTATCTCTATGTGTATCCATATACGAGATTTCCATGGCATTGTCGTTGACTTTTGCGGCTTTAATTTCCTGTGAGAGGTTTTGCGCCATATTTCGACCGTTAAAACATCAAACGCTCACAGTGCGAACATACCAAATTGTCATTTTTCTAGTGTGGACAATGGCTCTGCTACTTGGCATCGACGCCGAGAAGTAATCTTTCAAACACGTTCGTTTATCTACAGGTTCTGTGTTAATAGTCATTATCTGTGTATGTAACATCGCCATTTGGAGAAAGTTTAAAGATGGAAGCGTCGCCACACAACAGCAAAACAAAGACGCCTAAAATATGCATTTGACAAAGACTTAAATGTTTTGCGTCCTTTCTCGCCGTTTGCTTTGCTGGCTCCCTCTGATTATTGTCACTCTTATAAATTCACTTGAGGGCTTTGCATTGTCGATTAGATATTTTTTCATCACCCTCTTTCTTAATTTTTCAAACGCTTTCGTAAATCCAGTTTTGTATGCGTAGAGAATTCCTGAGTTTCGACAAGCGCTTTTTCAGCGTTGCGTCAGGAAGCGAGTTGAAATAAACGGGAAAAATGTAAAAACTGGAGGTAACAAGGTAATCATTTTGAAACCGGAAACACGGACAGGAAAATTTAACCACAATACCTTTCAACAAGGGTTTGATGTGACTGTTATGGATATTAGGCTGTAATGGATTTAGGTATGAAAACTGTACTGTCAGTTAGGAATGAGACAAATCATAATCTTGGGTTGAGGTAGTTCAACTGTCGAAAAGTCTAGTTGCCAATATTTAACGGCCTGCTCCCAGTTGGCTTGTTAGCTCAATTGGTAGAGCGTTGCACTAGTATCGCAGAGGTCAGTGGTTCGAGTCCCGTACAGGCCTGATTTTTTTCAGGTCTGATTTTCGCTATTGCATAAATAGCGCTATCTACTGCGAGGATCGTGCATCATACGTATCTAATACCGCAGTTCAAAATATATGAACTTCATATATTTTC